TGTTGATAGAGAGCATCATAAATACAAAATAGAGAAAAATTAAATAAAGCAGGTTAATCTAAATTAATTTTAGTTGTTTTCATGTTATTTTTTAATTATTTTTTTTTATTTTATTATTCAATACAAGATCAATTAAAAATTAAATTTTATTATTCTTTATTTGTTTGTTTTATATTGGAATATCTTGGTCTCACGATTAAGATTGCAGGTTTTAGAATTTTAACCTTGGTTAAATCAGATTATTTTTTTATTTTTTTCTAATAGGTTATATCGATATTACAACCCTAGTTAAATTATATTATTTTTTATTTTTTTATAAAGTTATTTTAGTATAATAACTAAGATAATAGGTTTAGCGGATTGACTTAAATTGTTTTTTATATTCTTTTTTTAATTATATCCTTTAATATTGAATTGATTGACAATTGAAAGTCATGATTTGTTCCAATATACTTTCCATAAGATTTATCTTGATTTTATAACTCAAATTATAGGTTTGACAAGTTAACTCGAATAAATGTTTTAGCTTCTTTTTTAATTAATTTTTTTAATTTTGTTTTTTAAAATCTTGTTGATTAAGAATTAGATTTCATAATTTATTTTAATTTATTTTTTATGAGACTATTATTATTTTATAACTCAAGCGTTGATTTAACAGGTTAACTTAAGTTGACTCCAAATCAATTCAATATATTATTATTTTAATATTAAAAAAATTATTTTAAAATTTTTTTAGTCAAATTATATTTTTAAAAGTCATACAAATTGCTTTTAAACATACAAAATCAACTAAATTATATCAAATTAATCCACACATAATTTTTTAACTAAAAAAACTAACATCTTAATATTTTATTTTCTATTCAAGAAACAACTCGACCCAAGCTATAAGGTATCGCAGTTCAATGAAGTACTGTTGGCCTATCAGCCCCCAGCCCCGTGGCTTGACTGCATAAAACATGGTCGTCATTAATGGCAGCTGCTCAAGCATGCAGGAGGTTGATCTTTAAATGTTTTAACCACAGACCAGAAAGGCGTCAATGCTATATTTAAGCAATCTGTGTAAAAATACGAACATCATATGACCTCAGATATAATTATAACACCAAGTGTACGTTTTGAGGCCTGAAATTTCTCCAGAATTCCTGGTGAGTAATTTTGTTAGACAAATTTCAGTTTCATGAAAGCTTCGTATTTTATTTTCCACACGAATTGTTGGAGTTGCATGCGTTCCTCTGACCATTAGTAATTGGAATATAATTGATGTTACAATTAGTCACTACGTAGAGGCCATAGGTCATGTATATATGCTTCCATCACTGTCAACATCACCGACGGAGAAATTTCTAGAGCCTGCAATGCCTCCAGCACCAGATTTTCCATGCCTTGACCAGGAACCACGCGGGCTCGCTTTCCACCGAAAATACGCCCGGGACCGGCAAGCAAAGTCATGGTCTAGAACTTTCCAATCCTTTTACAGGAGAAATTGGGTAATTAGTATATAAAATAAATAAAAAATAATAAATTAACATATAAGAAGAAATTTTGATGAATATGTTGTGGTTTTTAATTATATGTTAAGTTTTTGAAACTTAACATCAATTAAATTTAGGATTAATTGATTAATTTTGATGAATATGTTGTGGTTTTTAACTGTGAAATTTAATTATATGTTAAGTTTTTGAACCTTAACATCAATTAAATTTAGAATTAATTGATTGAGTTGTTTATAATGATTAGTTAAACTAGTTGGTCAATTCAAAAATAATAAAAAAAAATTACAAAATTATCAAAATCAAGTCTAGAAATGATAGTTTAAAAATCTAAAGATTCGACAGTCAAAGTAATGATTTCATACTACACTTAAAGGAAAACAATCTCTATAAATTCCTGTAAAAATTTAAGTGCTATTCAACAGTCCAATTAAAAGTTATAGTCTTTTTAAGTCACTTTTCTAATATAGCGTAACCAAACCTTCTCTTATGCTTAGATAGTTTAAAAATCTAAAGATTCGACAGTCAGAATAATGATTCCATACTACACTTAAAGAAAAACAGTCTCTATAAATTCATGTAAAAATTTGAGTGTTATTCAACAGCCGATTTAAAAGTTATGGTTTTTTTAAGTCACTTTTCTAACATAGCGCAACCAAACCTTCTCTTGTGCCCAAGTCTATCTGACTTGTTCATAAATATATTTGTTAAGTTATCCGCATAATCTCTTCAAGGCAAATTCTAATTTTGTTATGGCACACTCATACCTAAATGCTAAGAATCATTTTTATTGCAAGCTTGTCTGCATTATTGATATTCATAAAATGTATTTAAAAAAAATTAATAAAATTATAATTTTTATGTGAAAAAATTTATTAGTTCATGTAACTCAATCAACTAGTTTAGTTATATAATTAACATTTAGGTTATATGTTAAATTATTATATTTTGAAAATATGATATATTTAAATATTGTTATTATGGTCATTACAAATAAAAATATGTTATTTGATAAAATCCTTTTTTAATAGTTTTTTTTTACCAAAATTTTTAATTTCTTATGATAATTTGTTTATAAAAAAAATCGCTTTTTATTCCAGAGCAGAACAAAACGTCAATCAAAATATCATGTCCTAATAAAAAAAGAAAAAAAGGGGGTGAGGCCATGGTTGGAATTGAAAATGTTTGTGAACTTTAAAGCCTATCTAAAGCCTGTGCATTATTGAAAATGTTTGTGAACTTTAAAGCCTGTGCACTCGTGGGATATATTGCAGCCACATAATTGAAGCCGCCATGTCAATGAAGTACCTTAGAATTGGAAGCTTGTGTGGAAAATTAATAAACAATTGTGTACCTAAATAAATAGGTAACCATAAGCAAAATATGTGTGGTTCGAGACAATTTTGCCAGAGATGAAGAAAGAAACATGCAAATTCCAGCCGAGAAGGAATTGTATAACATGCGTCAATTTTCTTACACATAAAGCAACGACGACAAACTCATGAAGAGAATTCCAGCCATAAATGAAGAAAGGTCTTACGCTGGGTTTCAGCTGTCAAAAATGAGTACGTAGCTGGATTTGATTAGCACGGGCTTAAAAAACTGCTTAACCTTCAAAGCACGAGCTAGCGAAGATCAAGAATAAATTTGTTTCAGACTGTAGCTGCTGACAGCCATAGATAAACCACGTTACCTCAGTTATAATGTTTACTTGGAAACAGCAGACGATCAGGAATCTTGAATTGTTTAAAACCCAGGCTGATAACAACTGATCACTGAGAAATTAATGGTCAAGGGCCCTAAAAAAAGGTATTAATCAGGTGAAGTGTTGAGTAGGTAATAGGGTGTGGACAAATAGCTTTACATGGATGCTGACAGACATAGATGTCATAGCTCCACTTCTTACACCCACAATTACTTATTCCACATAGGACCACAAGGTCACCAAAGGCTCATAGTCCTCAACACAAAGGAAGAGATACTGCATGCCGATTGGAGATGGACTGATCAACTGGACAAGCCAATAATGAGCTGCTTTCCGCCGAAGATTTTGAAAGCTCCAAATTCTTCAGAAATCCACAGGAGAAAACAAGAGAAAAGATGAACGAAACCTTACGTGTCAAGAGGCTAACGTCTGGTCCCATTGCATCAATGGTGACATGAATATTTTTTGCGCATTGTGAGAGAACTTTTCTGTTTTTTTTCCCCCCTGCGAAAACATTAATGTGGCATCCGGCTATTTTAGTCACCTCCCATGTCCATGTCATCTTCCTCATGCACCTTACATATCGGTGACTTCATGGCATGCCTTACCCACATGAAAGCAACAATATGCAAATCCAACCGAGAACTTTCTTTAAAAATATCTCCATATATAGATATGCTTCATCTCAATTTCTTTGCATCTCCGGAGAGATTATTTTTTGTTGCATGTGTGAATGTGATATTCGGATTCGTGTTGTATGATGATGCGAAGCTTATATCATAGAGCTTCAACGTGGCGATTCGAGTACCTTAAATAGGTATGTTACGTTGTCACACGGGCTTAATCTATAGTATAAACATGTACCAAACTATGATTTAAATAAGCAGTGGATAAGGATAGCAAAACAGATATGCTGCCTGAAGATGGAAGGTATGTGACATCCCAGCGCTCTTTAATGTAGACCAAGACATCTAATAATTAGTAACATGGCATATTTGCCCAGCTATAAAATGCTGTTTCTTGGTCAGATTAGGCTATACATTGTTTTATGCCAAAAGGGAAATCGACGACCATATCTTGCAAGCATCAAGTAGCAGCTTACACCAAGAGAACAAAGTGGTAGATACGCAATCCATGCACGTGCGTGGGGTTGTATTTATGTTGGCTGTGAGGCGTCAGCGTTGATCAACTTGCAGCCAAAGAGGATCGAAGTCATGGTCGTGTATTAGCTAATCGGCAACATGCATGATTGAAAAGTTGATCTTGAATACAGTCCAGTCACTTGCATAATAAATAAACAAAGGGGCCATCCATGGTGGCCATGCCAGCGTCTACACGGTTCCGTGATGTGCACTGAAATTAATGATGCCAATGTTAGCTTGATTTTAAACACCCCACTGATCTTACGAGCACTCATCTCTCAGAGATCAATAATAGCTGATCTCCATACCTTCCCCGTTCTGGGGTAAAACCCGTTTTGTTCGAGACAAACATTAATTAATCATTGTTGATGGTACTCGCGATTTGATTTCATGCTAGCCCTTGCAATATGTTTACAGAAACTGCTCGCGTATAACTCATAACTGGTTAGGCCAGAATAAAATCTTTCATTTCATGGTACAATCCCAAAAGCCTTTGTTACGGGCCTTGATTTTGATGGGAAATGACATCTAAAAAATTTGAACAAAACAAGACACTGAAATTGGACCGCTGGCACGGGGTTTTGGGGGCCAACTAGTTCGGACTTCTACAAGCACTGAAAGGCATGGACGAAAACTAGAAAACAGTCTAATGCACGACTATTCAAGATGCGCTTGCCGGGTTTATATTCGTTCAGCATAGGTTCAGCCCAGTAAATCCCAAGTTATCAAATGTATATCGATCATACATGCTTGCATGCCTAACTCATCCACCAACTACTAAACAGGGTAAGAGTTCTGAGAAAACTATAGCATTTTCCAGAGACGACTCAGTTGAATCGAACCAGGCTAATGCAGCTAGTATCTGCATTTACTGCCGCTTAATCTTTCCACCCCAGGAAAAAGGGCTCCAGGCAACATTGTAATTCACCTTCTCAGAGCTGTACATAAACGACTGCATGAGACATGCCCTAGGGTAGCAACTGGTAGAGGGATGCATGAAGTGCGACAGTCGGTGTATTTGATCAAAGATTTTCTTGGGCATTCATTATTTGCACCATGCTTTGAAGAGAAATTGCAAACGAAAACCATTAACCTAAACACTCGTTGACATGTTAACAATTGAGACAACTATTCAGTAAGAGGTCAGCTAAGTCTATGATGTTAGCAGAGTCTACGAGTTAATGCAGAAATGCTTGAAGCAAAACAAATCGAAACAAAAACTTGCTGCTTGGCTTATGAATCAGAACAAAAGAACAAGCTCCAAAAGCACTATGAAATATCCTTGCTACAAATTCAGAAAGCAAATTAACCTTACACCTGGAGATAGTTCCTAAAATAAGGATACAAAAGGGAAAATCAACACATAAGGAAAATTAAAAACTATTTTCCTATGTCTGAGATTATACCAGACAATTAATATCTATTTACCTGCATATAATATATAATATGAATTCACCCAAAAAACATGCAAGCCTGAATCTCATCAAAGCTCCCAGTCAGTAACCTGCAATGGGAACCTTACATTCAATTAGTTTAAGAGAAGCTGAAAGAGCTTCAGCACCAGACTCTGGCAACTATGTGAAGTTTAACTTATAAGCGGCTTGAATGATTGCATCCCTCTACCAGAACTTATAAGCGGCTTGAATGATTGCATCCATGCAAGAAAAGGCACATTAAAAAATTATTAGCTAACAACAAAATAATCAGAGAGGATGACTGTCATACCAAGGCTAAGCATTCAGTCCTCCTCCATAGGTACTTCTGGAATATCAAACCTATCTTCCTCAATTGTCTTATTGATCACGGAGACAGGAGATGGTAATGAGGAAGTCAAGGAATAAAATATTTATCTGACTGTATAATTGCAGGACCAGGGGAGATAAAATGTAAAATTTCACTAACAGTACCTATCATTATAATTCCTTTTTTTACAAAAAGACATATTTCTCTGTTTTTAAACGAACTCCATGATAATTTATAGATCAAAACCTCCATATAGAGGTGCAAACCATTCATTTGTAATTGAAACCTCATAAACCTTCCATACAGATAACTAAACAAACATGACCAACACAACCAAATGCATGTAAGAACATTGTATTACATGCATGTAACACAAGGACTTAAAATCATCAATATCCAGGAATAGAGAAACGAAACGATTTTTCAGAAACCTGCTCAAGTCTCAGAAGACATGAAGGCATGCAACCTTTTTTATCACAAAATATTATGAATGCATGCCGCTTGAAAAAATATACTTTTAGCTTCTAATCAATAAACCAAATTCAGTCTACCCAATCTCTTTGGTATTCACAAAGGAGATATCATGACCGTGGCAAACCTTGAAAGTACTATGACAATTACCACTGATCCATCTCATTGTCATCCTTATTCCAAAAATAAGGCCTTTTTAATACATTTTCCTACTTCATAGTTAGCTCATAAACAAACACTTGCAGGCTAACATGCAGGATAGCCTAAAAAAAACAAAATTACAGCATGCTGGCATAGCATAACAAAGATAAATAAATAGAACAGTCAAGGAACCAATAAAGCAGTATAAAGTTAATCTTGCATGCAAAGGATATTTATTGACATGGGATCATCCTTCTCCCCACGATTGCGGCTATTGTCTAGCTCTCTGATTATTTCTGGAGATACCTGCATTCAAAATGGGCGCAGATATTAAAACATTTCAATGAGAAAAATAAAATCTACTAATTTTGCAACATTACGTGTGTAAACATATAAGAGAACTATATCAGGACGATGGTCTCACTAGTTTATGCTTTTGCCTTAGAACTAGTCTTCTAAGATTATCTTTATCTTCCTTCTGCAGTTCATTCTTGTATCTGAGAGATTTCAACAACAACTGTATGAGTGAAAAGGCAATGTGTTTTGAGGCAGCTACTTGATTTAATAGCGCATAAAAACTAATAAATAATGCAAGAGAGTTTAGGAAGAAGCATCTCATGTCATACAGTGCTGCTCAAAGGAGAAATTAGGCTGAAAAAGGAAATCTCAAGTTCTCAGCAAGTATTCCAAAAAGGGGAGATGGAAATTCAGAAACAAGGGAAGATCAATAAAATATATTACCTTGAGACTGCCTCTTCTGATGTTGCCCATCAAGGCACAGTAATTAATAAAAACTAATGTGAACACAGCAATTTCAGTTGGCAGAATGCACATGGTGTGAAATGCAAGTCCTAATCTTCAGTTGTGATGCATGGCAAGAAGGGTTATTTTCAAATTACTTGTAATTTTGTTAGTTGTGTAGTTCTGTAATTGTTAAGAAGTTCTCTGGTTACAATAGTTGCAAATAACCAAGATTTCATTATTGCTAAGAATTATTTTTGTGGATTTTGTTTCCTTCATTAGTTTAGGGATATTCTAGAGTTCTCATGTGCCTATAGAAGCACATTCTATGTAATTGAATGGTGTTTTAAATGATTAAATCAATTATCACAACCTCGAAATTGATTGTTTCACCTGAAAGGTGTTCGTTCTTCTTTCCTTGTGATTCAAAGAACCCCTAGTCAATCTCTAGGGTTTTCTTTCTTTTTATTTCTTTAATTCATGTTCCTTTTCTACATCAATTGGCACCTCCAAAAAAAAATTATTGATGCTAGAAAAAAGGTTCCATTGCTGCTCAAAGAGGAAACAAAATATCTTATAGACATCACAGAGCCACATTACTGTTAAAGAGAACACCTCAAGACACCCAATTATGCAAGGTAGCAATATTTATATATCCCATTCATCAAAATGGCTTTTCAACCACAAATAATATGTGCTTGTCAACACATAGAAAAAACCTAGAGGAGCCCCAAACTAAAGAAGAAAACAAGTTCGCTAATCAAATAAAATACCAATAAAATGTCGTAACAATAATAAAATCCTAATTGTTGCAAATATTTTCAAGTGGAAAACTTCCTAAAATGACAAAAGCACACAAAATACAATTACAAATAATTTGAAGATAGTAGTTATTAGTAATTTCCCTTGTTGACCTGCATCTTTTGAATTGCAAAACAGATCCATAATAATTACTTTGCCACAATAAGTGTTTCGTATGAGCTATCAGATAGAGGACATATATGGAACACGTATAAAAACACAGTAAAACAGAATCATCTCCCATTACCCCTGCTCCCCTTTCTTGATCAGTCAGGTTACATGTATGCATCATAAAACAAAGTGAAAGGGAACAGTCTGTACACATAACATTAAACAGTGCATCTGAAACAATGCAAAAGATTGACGTGATGTGGCTAAATCAAGCAAGAAACACCCTTTAGCTCTTATTCGATATTAAGCATTTATAGTCAATACATACCAGATAGAATTCAGACAGCTAAAAAGAGAAGAGGCAAGAAAAAGGAACATGGAAAAAATACCAACCTTTGCACAAATGAAAGAAGTGATTGATGCCAAATTACAGGCATTATTCTTGTATCCTCAAGAAATCTCATGAAATGAGCAACAACTGCATCAAGTACACGATATGGCAAGGCATATTTCTTGTCCATTAGAAGCTTGATAAAATAACTGCAATGGTTTGCCAAAGTAACATTGTCAAATAGTATTCAGATCATTTGGCGACTAAAAAAGCACCAGATCCAAAATGGAAAAGATTTAAAAAAAAATACCCTCTCTCTTGAATTTTCTATTGCCTATTCCTTCCCGGATTAAAGTATGAAACCACACTACATAGGTTCAGGCATCAACAATTGTTTCAGAACAGCACAACACTTCTTAATATCACCAATTATTTCATTACTTACCTTCTCCATACGTGCAAGTTTTATTCTCGGTATTTTATAATGAAGTTTATTTGCAAGCATCAATAATTATTTGGAACAACCATCACATCAAGAAACCCAAGGTACATATTGCTAGGACCTCGCTACATAAGTCATGACTCATTTTCCTAAATCAGGGGTAGGCTTGCATCCTCATCAAGCATGACTTATGAGACCATATTTATATAAAATTCCAGCTCGTTGCCTCTGTGTGTGATAATTCGATAATTCCTAGTAGATTGTTAGAATCTCTTTGAAAGCAAAAGGCACAATCGTTCATCACAATGTGTTTCACATGGAACATAGAAAACTTTCTACAAATCTTTCATGCATAATTAGGAACATTTATTGTTGAAGTACAAAGGCAAACCACATGCATAAACAGCATGGATAAACATGTAAAGTTGCTAACTGTTACACGTTCCTTTTTTATCTTCGATACATGTTAAACATTTATATACCTTGTTGTGCCACAATATTCCATCTCTGCAAGCTTCAACAGTGCAACACTGCAATTCCATTGAAATGTTGGAGTTAGACTCCTCCACGGGTATTTGAAACTTGGAAAAATAAAAGGTGCAGAGCAACATTCCAGCTGCTACAGAAGCATCTCATCCTCATGTGCTGAATGTTTAAATTATTGCTTGTATATCTCAAAATGAGGGAGGGGGGGTGGCGGGGTTGAATGTTTAAAAGCATTGGTGTAATAATAAAATCCATATGTAAATCATGAAACTTGGAAAAATAAAAGGTGCAAAGTTCCAGCTGCTACAGAATCATCTTATCCTCGTTTGCTGACTGTTGAAATTAGCGCTAGTGTCTCAAAATGAGAGGGGGGGTAAAGAGGAATGGTTTGAAATGATTAAAAGCAGTGGGCTAACATCATAAAATGCATAATGTATATGTTAATCATGAAATTCTTATCTTTCTCAACAAGAAAATCCAACTAAACAATGAAGAGATTGGAACAGGTAAATCAGTAAAGTCAATTTACAGCGGGTTGAGAAATGCAAGATTCAAGAACTTTGGAATGTGGAATATGGATAGTAGAGTTACATCCACTAGGTGTGAAGGGTCATCAGGAGGGTTATCCAGTCATGGAGGAACTTGAAATGGGGTTAGTCATGCCTTCTTAACAGGTAACATTATGATTTTATAATTACACAGGCAGAATCCTTTGGAATATCAATCAAGACATGCATTGAAACATACATGATTGTCCTCTGCAAAAGTAAGCATACCATGAATGAAGCATCGGAATGGAGACCTTTTGAATAATACTTCCAACAATAACAGCTTCCCTAAGTGTGCACGTCCCTGACTGCATATCAAGTAAGAAAAAAGGGGGTTATATTAAAGAACAATTAGCGGTTCATTAAATCAAAAACTATCAGAACCAGGCATCTATCAATTGGAGGCCAATAAATTTATTGGCAGGGATTTTAGTTTTGTCTATCCTATGAAGTCCTTGTTTAGGTTTTGAGTTTGCTCCGGCGAGCCTCTTTTCTTTAGCAGTTACAAATCGGATTCCCTACTGTAATTTCAATTCTCCACAAAAAAAAAAAAAAAAACTTCAATTTGTTTAAACCCTAATTGATCCTTTCACCTTGTCCAGCATTGTAACATGTGAGTTACAAAGTAGCAGTTAGGATCTAAACAAAAACAGGGAGATATGGGAGAGAAAGAGGATAGCAGCAAACTAATGTATCAGTCAATCTAAGAAGACCAGCATTGACAACTTATCATGACTGGGTGAAGAGCCAGTAGTAGGAGACTGGAACATTACAGATTAGCAAACCAGCCAGTTCTTATTAAGAGACTGGAACATTACGGATTAGCAAATCAGCCAGTGATCAAATTCTATAGAATAAACAACATGCAGAAGATTTTCATGCTAGTATATACCTTACACAACGGAAGCAATATTCCCTTGTTGAACGCAGCAGGTTTATACAGAGACTTTTTTAAAGCTTGATACAGACTGAAATGCAGCCTCTTATTCGTCCTAATATCATCTCTAACCCTAGGAAGTAAGACAAGCCTATAGAAACGCTCTGCCTTCTTTGCACCCAAATTAGAAGAGAAGATTCTAGTGGCTTGATACATTGCATTTGGTGACCATTTCTGAGGTTCAGTCAGGTACAAGATATCCTCCCAAAGTTGCATAGAAGGGATGTGCTTAAATGCCTTAGGTATCTTTCCAGCTGTGTATTTACTCAGATACTCACCAACTCTACACATAATCATATCAAAATGTGAGCATCATATTCAAAACGCTTTCCTTCACAAATCTGTTTTCTAAAAATGTTTTAATAAGAGAAAATGGAAAGAAAATGTCCACAAAGAGGGTAGCTAATTTACCCCTTGTACAAATCTATCAGAGACTGGTCCAACTTAGGTACAGGCTGTAACTCTGCAATCAAACAAAGATATTCAGCATAAACAGTGAACTATACAGATTCAAACAAGTACAGCAAAGTAAACACAATATTAAATGCACATGTTAAAGATATAAATAAGGGGTTTAAAAAAAATAACTCATTTCAAGTAAGAGTATGACCTGAGGAAACATTTGCATCAGTCTTTTTTAATTTCTCAATAATAAGGTCGGCAAGTGTTCGCTGTGGACCAGAATCCTTTGAAAAGAATGCCTCCAGCAATTTCTCTTCATTCTCATCAATCTCCTCCTGCCCAACCATCCAATCTCACTCCTTTTACAAAACAAGTACAAAAATAAAAATAAAAGTAAATCCAGTCCGACAAAATTGACAAAAAAAAACAGCTCAAAAAATAAGTTAAAGATAACAAATGGAAATACTGACAGGATAATCGTTAAACTGGCTTTGAGTCTCGGAGAAGCCACTAAAATCATCAATTTGATCCTCGGCACATTCCTCTCCTTCAGGCTCAGGCAATTCTTCCTCTAGAGCATTAAAATTAGGGTTTCTCTCCTCGGCTTGAATCTCCTTCTGCTGAATCAACGCTTGCTTCAAGATTTTCGAGCTCATCCCCGAGGATATCATCTAGTACATAAACCATTACAAAATTAGAGGAAGGGAGAGAGAGAAACAGAACCTAAAAAGAAGAAAGAAAAGGCATAAAAAATAAGGCGAGGACTACTTTTTGCTGTTTCTGGTGGTGTTTTGATGCTTTGGATCGTGTTTTAGTGGAGGAGGCAATAGAGTCTGTATCCTCTGGAAGGAAAGGTTCTGGGTTTTGGTGCCTCTCTCTTTTCTTCCCCATTGATGGAAGATGGAGTGAGCTGGTCGTAGAAATTTAGAGATGGGAAGACTGAAAAATGCTGCTTGCTTTGCTTCTCAAACAAGGAGAAGAAGAAGCCCTGTTGATAAACCCTAGTGGTAGTGGATTTTACGTTTCTTAATTCATGGGCTAAGTTTTTGTGCTGGCTTGACTACTATGGGCTAAGTTCTTGTATCTGCACGGTTTAGCCCAATTCTGTGGTATGAAAATTTTTTATTTGATGTCCACCCCCCCAGGATACGAGTTTTTTCACTCCCTTACAATGGTTTAACTTTGGATGCCCTAAAATTCTGTGGTAGAGCCAATTTTGTTCTATGAAAGAAACATAGGTGCTTAGCTCGTATGATAACAAAAACCACAATCACAAAAACTGCATAAAACCCTTGATGTGTTTGATAATATTCGTCCATTATTTTTGCAGAATTGTTCATTCTCATTCTTCTTTTCTTCTTTGATAAGAAACAATTTTAAAAATAAAAATTCTGAGTACTCTTTTAGTTAGTTGATAATATGTGCAAGTCCCAAGTGTTGCCACGAGTAAGGTTAGTTCTTTCTACAACTTAAAAAAATAATGTTAAAGCATTGCTAGTGTGTTTTAAAGCAAAAACAAATACTTGAATCCGAGTTATAAACTCTAGCAAATCCAATACAATGATTTAATTTAATTATGGGATAAAAAACAGTACTAAATTTATGGAATGTAAAGAGAAAATGTGATAATAATGACAAGTAGGAAAATAATGGTTTCCAAAAGAAAAAAAAAAAGTAATATAAAGTTGAATTTCTAAATAACTCAATATTAAAGTACAAAATACAAAAAAAAAATAAGTTAATTCAAGTTAGGATGACAAACTCATGACTCGGGTCATGAGGTCAGGTCATCCTTATAGAAAGTAAATTAATAAAAAAAAAAGCTCAATTTCATACTCGTGACATGAATCATCAGATCTGAATCATCACATCAAAAAATTTAGAAAGCTTAATTATTAACAATTAAATATTAAATGATGAAATTAAAAAAAATTAATTTTAAAAAAGAATAAAAAAGCAATTAGAAAAAATCTCAATCTTTAATAAACTCAATGTTAAAGGCTAAAATTGGAAGAAAAAAATCAATGTGAAAAAATCTATTGTCAATTCGGGTTAACATTTTATACTCGTGATATGGATAATAAGACTTAAATATCACATTAAAAAAATTATGAAACTCAATTCTTAAAATTTAATGTTAAATGATGAAATTAAAAAATTAAAATCAATTTTAAAAGAGGATAAAAAAATTAAATAAAAGAATGAGGATAAATTTGATATAAAACTAAAATGATGTAAAAGTTCCGAGTCAATTTGAGTTGGCATGGAAAATTCATGGCCCGAGTCGTGAGGTCAAGCTATCCTTATAGAAAAAAATAAAAATAAAAAAAAAAGAAGTTTTATCTTCAATAAATCTACTATTAAATGATGAAATAGAAAACAAAATATTTATAAAAAAAAAAAGACCAACATCAATCTGGATCATAAGATTGGGATCATCGCATAGAAAAAAATATTACAAAATCAAATTATCTACTAATTTAATGTTAAATTATGAGATTAAAAAAATCTAATTAAAAAAAAAGATAAAAGAGCAATCAAAATAATAAGGATCAAATCTAACATAAAAATTAAATGATGAGGGATAAAATTAAAAAAAAAATTAAAAATGATATAAAAAAGAAGAAGTAACAATTAAAAGAATGAAAATAAAATTTGATATAAAAATAAAATAGGATCCAATACTTAAAGATGAAATTAAAAACACAATTAAACAAAAAAATAATTCAAAACAAATAAAAAATAATTAAAAAAATGAGGGCTATAATTGAAATAAAAAAAAAATTGAAGAACAATTTTTAATTATGATTAGACCAACATAATTTCTAAGGATAGAAGAGAGAGAAAAAATGGATAAAAAAATTTCAAACATCACAAATCATATTACATATATTAGCACAAAAAATGTGACACTTCAAATAATAAAATAGTTGATTTTTTTTACTATTAGAAGGTGTTGCACATCTCATTTAAAAAGTATAGGCGTCTTTCACATGCTAACATATACTATGCATGCATTAATAATTTTTTATTTTTTAATACATAATGTCCCCTTAGTTTACTTGTTAATTAAAAAAAACAAAATAAAATGACAAAAAAACCTCTAGATACAAACCTAAAAAAATATGATTTTATAAGCAATCTAGTCATTTTCAAATTAAAATGAAATTATGTAAAACCTTTGGAGGCAAGTTAAATAAATTTTGCTTTTAAAGGGTTATTTAATATTTTTATTGTGCTATGAAAATTATGAGATAACAAATATGTCCCGGATGAATTTAATAATAACAAATTAATCCTCTTAAACTAGGTTATTTGATTTTATTTTTAAATAATAAAATTATTATTTTATTGTGTTAATCCATATTGAAATGTGAATATATAAACAATGAATGTTTGATATCTTATAACTTTTGTTTTGATGTTGACATGATAAACAAGTTATGCCATTAATGCTTAAAATTTAATCAATCTATTTGCTCTAAGTTGACAACAATTAAAATTATGTTATGTCATTAGAAATTCAGGTGTATGAGTCCCATCAATATATATATATATATATATATAACAGCTATCCAAGTTGTTTTTATATTAATTAAATTAATTGAATTATATTAAATTAATTTTTTATAAAATTTAATTTTAAACGTAGACTAAGAGTCAAGAGGTTATTTTTTTTTTTATTATTATTTTTTTTTCAATTTTATTTTTATGCCAATCATCTAATTTATCTATAAAATATCCAAGTCAACTGAATTACAGAACAACTCCCACACAATTTATTATTATAGCTTATCTAGACAAAAAAATTAAATCAAGAGGTTATTATATTGATTTTATCTTCATTATTTTTTAATTTCATCCTAGTATTGTTATTACTTAATAATTAGATAAAATATCTTCAGACTGACAAAATAAATCTAATTATATCAAAATAATCTTTACATGATTTAATTTTAAATTAAAATTAAGCAAGAAATTAAATAAAAAGGTTTTAATATTTATTCACTTAATTAAATTTAATAAAAATATTAAATAATTCTCTAAAACTTAAATATTTTTCATTACATTCAATTTTTTTAATTCCATCCATTGCTTAGCATAACACATAACACAGGCATGTAAATTAGTAATAACTATTTAGATTCAAATACAGAGTTTTCACCACATTATTGAACAAAAAGTTCTCTCAAAGTATGAGTTGTCCCTTTTCGAACTTGAAAATTCCTACTTAATTCGATCTCGAATCTCAAAACATCATCAACTCATTTCGATTGTCTGTTCTTTGTGTATTATCTAATTATGTTTATAGCTAAGGAAGCATCGCTACAAGCTTACCGCTTGCCATTTTGATGAAACCCATTTTGGCGTCAAGGCAACCGCATTTAATTGAGAGACTGCTTGGAAAGGTGGTCCTGTTTTTTTAAAAATTAATTTTTTAATTAATTTTTTTTTATATTTAAATTGTTTTAATATTCTATTTAAAATTATTTTAATATATTTTTAAATAACAAATATTTTAATCCACAGTCATAATTACAATCTCATACAGGTCATAGTACTCAAAGGACAGACAAGAAGCTAAAAGCTGCATTGCCATATCTAAAAAACTGAGTCAGTTTAGGAAGTCTAATAAGGAAAAAACACATGAAAATGACAATCTAACTCCATCTCGATCTAATAACTAAGTTTTGAGAGACCTGGAGAGAGAGTCGGCAAGGATATACAGCATCTGCAAGTCATAAGATCAGGAAGAATGATTGCATGATCCACTGGCAGATAGCAGCCAACACATTAAAAGCTAGATGCTTCTTTTCATTTTCAGATTCTTCACATATCTGGTATTGGAGAACTTGAACAACCTATTTAAGACAATTTCCTGCGAAATTCCATCGGAAATGTGACTTGTGAGTGGAGCAAAGATTCCTTTGAAAGAAGGGAAACAAATGAAATGCTGCACTGAACTGGGAATTGCATCAGCAGCCTGATCAGCTTGTAAAAGTGACTTATGTCCTTCCTAGGCTCAATAGAGCATTGTATCCCTCAATGCCAGCAACATTTTCTGCACCTTTTGCAGGCGGCAACTTTGGGAGCACCCAAGCTGGTGATGTGTCAAGCCACAATCCTTCACCAGTTTCTTTGTGCTTGAAATCCGGAGATTTTGGGTTTTTCTAAATACAACAAACAAGGGGGCATGAAGTTATAAACGAATAATTAGATCAGATGAATAAGTTTTGCAGCGTTACCTTGTCAACTCTGTTGTCCCACCATTTATGAGGGTTTTCAACCAAGTCCTTCCAGCATTCTTCCTCTAAAATCATGCCACAATGAAGATAGTATTATTATGAGAGAAAAAAACAAGATAAAAGCCAAAAAGCCAGCAGAACAACCTAAAGCCTTGCTGATAAATTAGAAATTGGAGAAAAACAAAGTAGAATGGGGATGCTGACATTATTAAGGATAATAATTGGATAGAGTCTTCCTTTCTCTAATTATCAACGAAAATCACTGACAAATTCTTCTAGAAAGCAAATTTTTTACCTTTTTTTTTTAAATTATGCTGGAAAGACAATATTAGATAGAAATCGTGCAAAAAGGGGTGCGGTGCTGCCCAATTACATGGGAAGTTCACACATACGAATGCCAGGATCACAAATGAGAAATTGAAATGAGAAGAGAAACTCTGCTCCTTTATCTTGTTTATCTGTTTACCGTTTAATTATCAGGGATATTGCTAAAGGAGGCATTTTTCCCTTCAGTATTTCCTTTTATGTAGAAAAATAGAGGAAAAAGATTCCCATTCGTTGGTTAAAAAATAAATAAATTCATCCAGACCAACTTGACACGGTAAGTAATTGAAAAGTTTAGGAAGGAAAGTGGCCCTCCTTCAAACCATTATTAGCCGTGTTTGTCTGCTTTGCTGGTGGTTCTGGTTACAGAAAGCCAGAATGGCAAACCCATCTTCAGTGTTCCATTTAACAACCAGTATTTAACACCAAGTATCTTCAGTGCTACAAAGACATGCTGCCCAAGTCCACAATTTGGAAAAGAAATTAAATGTCTTCTTCACATCGACACTCATCTGCTATGAATAATCATTAAACCTTCTTCATATCCGTGTGTGATGCGGGAAAAGAAATATTTGAAGCCGAAGAAAAATAAAAGAAGCTAGGAAGAAGAAGCCAGAAAAAAAAAAAAAGGAGTTAGAAAAGTACGCAGTTCTGTAATTTTTATTCAATTCATAAACACCTATCTAACATTTAGAAAAATAAAATATAAATACTAAAATCCTAACTAGAACAAACAATTAGGTTTATAACCCACTAAATAAAACACCCAACAATAATTAAATCAAACCCAACAAATAAAACTTAATTAATAAACCTCAACTAAAAATTCAAATAAATTGAATCAAAATATAAGCTAAAACGTAATCTCTCAATGGTTTAAGCTACCCTCCATCATCTATGATTACACATAAATGTAAACAAAGTCTCAAGTTTGGTGTCTCCACCAACTCTCCTAAGATTAGAGAGACTCGATCTCATTGAGTGTAGTTCAAGACAACTCCAATAATATTCCAAAAGATTATGACCAAGTTGTTGTAATGTCTCTCTGATAATCCAAGTATAGTCTGAATCTAGTCGTCTAGATCATATATTGGGATTCGTTGAAGTTCACATCTCTGGTAAAAACTTGTGCATCCAAAGTAGTATTAATATGTTCCTTTTATGTTAAAGATAAATATAATGGGGTAGAGGTTTCAAAAGAATCATCAGGGATAGATAATCATATTTTATATATAACAAGGTCCTTCAGGTCCAAAGTAGAATTAATATCAAAGTTTAGTGACAGTTTAATGATATAATTATTTAATTCAATCATTTGCAACACTTTGAATGGTCGAACACTACTGACTTACAATTTATGATTGGTTTCCAAAAAAAAATCACTTAGATCTAGTCTGCAACATGAAATAATCTTAAACATTAAGTGCATCATGATATTTATATAAATCGGCTCCAAATTGATATTATTCATTACTTAAATATATTTTATAACCTTAACATGCAAAAAACTCAGTTGAGTTGGACATAGGAAAAATATTTACAAGCTTTCTAGATTCGTAACTATGAACACTACATGACCGAGGATGTAGAGTACAAACAATATTTGAAGTCTTAAGTACATATAGTTTTGACATAACCTAGTAAATTATGATTATCTTTATCTTTCTCTTCAAATGTCAAGGGTAAGAGATCAGGAAGCTCAACATGTTGCTCTGAAGACGTGCTAGACGTCAACCATGAGGGGCTGAGGAGCATGTTGCTCTCTTTGACATGCTGAACATCAAGCATGTTGGATAGAGAATCAAGTAGTTTAAGAGAACCAATATCATAAGACTCTTCTAAGACTATATGTATCTCTTCGAGCAATTCCACTAAAAAGTTTTTTAAAGCTTCTTCCCCTACCACTAAAACAAAATTATTATATTCTTTATTATCCTTGTTTCAAACTCATTTGGACTTATAATGTTAAGTCCCTCTTCTTGCATATCTTCTTCATCGAGGTCATTAAAATTCTCAGGATTAGGTTTATACACTTGAAAATAATAATCTTCACTTTCATCTATATCTTTCTGTTCTTGGATGACTAAGAGTTTAGAGGCATAGTTAACAAAGATATGACTGAAACCTTAACATTTAGCACACTGAACCTTTGAATTTATCCTAGACATTTTATTGATAACTCGTTTACCCTTATCTTTTTCATAAATATAAGCACTACCCAGATTAAACCTACAAGGTGAAACACTTAATACAAAAATTATTATTTCTAAATTGAGACCTAAAAAGAGTACTAAGAGGGTCTAGATGCCCATAACTAACTCATAATCTTGTCCTACATTATAGGTTTGGTCAAGAGTGAAAACACCTATGAACATGATTTCTTTTCTAAAATCATCACTTAAAACTTTACAAAAACCACGTAAAGTCATGGCTTTATTTTTTCTTATGACAAATCTCATCATGTAATCATTAAATTGTGTTATATATTCATTGACAGACTTATTTTCTTGTCTAAAATTGTTCCATTGGTCCAATAGTTTATTCCTATAAAACCAAAGTAGGTGTTTCTCTTATAGTTTTTGTTTTATTTTGGTCCAATAAGTTATGGAGGTTTACGTCTCGTCTTTAAACAATCTTCAACATCTCCAAATAAAGTTGGGCTTCATCAATGAACATCATCTTAGCAATCAAACTCTCCTATTATCAGACAAGCTATGTCACTCAACGAATTAATTCATGTCATGAATCTACATATCAAAGATTCAACGGTCATGAGGACCATAAAAAATGATGGCTTCTATTTTGTCATGACTTGTAGCTTATGACTCGCTCATCAAGATCATTGTGATTAAAGTAACATAAATGATAATCATATTAGTTGCGTTCAGGGTGAACTTGCCTATAATGATTATTCCTATAATATTTATTGGTTTTTGGGTGCCTTATTTGAAAACTCTCTTAGGGTTCAATTCTTTTAAACATGCTGATCATCTAGGTTTGCAGTTCCCCTCAAATGGTCCCAAGAGTGTCATCAAGGGTCGGATCCACGATAATTGAAGACTTAAGCTTAAACACTAGATGATCACGACACAAATGCATGTAATGCTAATTTAGAAATGGAATTGAGATTACAAATGATTCTTGCAAGTGAAATCATAATGCAAAAATAAAGTTGATTTCTTTTTTTTTTTTTAATGTGAAGATTAATCAAGAATAGAAAAAACTAGAAAAATTTTAAGCACGCAATATTAGTCTCTTAAATGTAAATGATTAATCAAACATAATGCCACAAATAGAAACTCACAAATAACAACAAAGACTAGATGCTAGATTATCAATAATGAAAGAGGTTGATAAGCAAAAATAACATATAGAAAAGAGGGGTGGGATTTTTATTTTTATTTTTATTTTTTGAATTTTTTAGGCACATAAGTGATATTAATGACAACCTTAAATGGAAAGTGCAAAACCTGAAAAAGTAAAATCCAGTGAATCAAAAGGTTGAGTAATTTACCAACTAAATTGTTGAATAATAGTGATAGAGCAATTGAATTACACAAGCTGTTGTCGATATGGCATCCCTCGTTGATGTAATTGTGCACGATAATTATTTTTTAATCACTATAAAACAGAAACTAAACTAAAGAGAAAAATGCCAATCCCTTGACTTGGTGTTGTTCTTACAACTAAAGAAAAGAAAAATGCTAATCCCGTGATAAGGTGTGGCTGTTGAGGGACAAACAGCTGCTGTGGAGGAGTTGTTGTGGCTAATATGGAAAGTGAGACATGGTTGGAATGATTTGTTGTCTCCTTGACTGAACCTGGTACAAATAAAAAGAAAAGGATTGCTTCCCTACTGTTGGTGTGATGTTGCGGCATCTTCGGCACCATTGATTTGTTGTGCTAGATCTGGTAGTGGTGTCAGGCATATTAGTTTATGGTTTTGGCCAGAAGTTGCCAAGGAAAATTACAATTTGCTAATGGGGATGGTTGAATTGCTATGCTAGAGCTGTTGTATCTAAGGGAGGAGCTGCTATTGTTCGTGGGCAAAAGATCAATTGGTTTGTGCCCTGGTTGTTGCTGGTGGTTGCACAAGGTAGTGATGGTCTTCTTAGTAACAAGTCAGGCAAGGCAGCAGCTGGGGCGGCTGATTTGTAATTGGCAATAAGGATACCTGGTCTGTGGGTTGGCCAATCTGCCGTGGGAGTCCAATCTTCTGGTGGAGTGGTTGGTTTGCAGCCGTGAGGCGGGGGAATGAATGTGTGGTGACTATGCTTTAGGGGCAAAATAAATCTAAGGGTGTGTTTGACTGATTGCAATTTTTTTTTTGCAGATTTTGATTGTAAATGGGCAAAATGAAAACATAAACTATTTTTTTTGTAATGTAATACTAATTTTTTCTTTTCACTGTGGATGAAAGCATCTTACATGATCTAGGCTTTATGAACCAAGTTAAATGTTAAGAATTTGAACAAGTCCATAGATTGTTTAATTGTAAGAACAATTAAAAAACCAGGTTCTGATACCAAAGATGATTCAGGGCAAAAGAGATTTGAAACCAAAGATGAAAAAAAAAGAAGAAGCTGGAAGAAGAGAAGAAGAAGCCAAAGAAAAGAAAAAATAGGGGCTAGAAAAGTTTGCAACTTTGTATTTTTTATTCAATTCATAAACAATTGTCTAACATTTAGAAAAGTAGGATATAAATATTAAAACCCTAACTAAAACAAGCAATTGGACTTACAACCCTCTAAATAAAATACCCAATAATAATTAAATCAAACCCAACAAATAAAACCTAATTAATAAACCTCAACTAAAAGTTTAAATAAATTAAACAAAAATATAAGATAAAGCTCAATCTCTCAATCGTTTGGATTACCTCTCTCAATCATTTGGGTTACCCTCCATTATCTCTGATCATACGAATGCATAAACAATATCTCAGGTATGATATCTTTATTGTGTGGATATTGCATGTTTATACTAGCATGGTGCCATTTGCCACATGGGACAAAAGCATCTGATGGCTCCCATAAGAATTGTTCTCTAAGCTCATATTGACAAGCACATATTGACATAAAAAAACAACAAGCATCCACATTGCTAGATATGCCAATTTTAAAGGATGCAGCATAGGGAGGCCAGGTGAAGGTAGTTTAAGGATAGCAGCTAAGTTGTTTGTACCTTTTTGCTGCTTTGTTTTTGTTGGTTGGGCAGTCTTAACATCAAATTTCACCTTTTCAAGTCCTGAAAAAATCCAACTTGGTGCCCCAGTAAGCCAGACGGACTGGTTGTTACTCTTGTGTTTAAAATCTGGGTGCTTTGGTTTTACCTGTGCAAAACAAGAAGAAAACAGGTAACGGATCCATAAATATCAACAGCTAAAGAAGAAGTTACCTAGAGGGTGAATCATTACCAATCCACTGCGCTTACTGCTACGATAATCCCACCACTGATTTGGATTTTCAAGAAGGTCTGTCCAGGAATTCGATCCAGATTCACCCTTTCTCTTCATGCTGGCTGAAAGATAAGTATGCCATAGCTTAGCAATCAGCATCACAAAAAAAGTTAATAAAAATATCTTACATGGATTTACCATCATCATCTAAGGGTACTTCTAGTTGCTGCTCGAGTAGACTTTTCTTCACCTGGAAAGACCCCTCAATAAAGTTGATACTGTTCACCAAAACCTAGCAAGAACGAACACAGCTAACATTATAAGCTTTTCACATGTACAATAGCACAACACCCATCAGGTTTGTAAAAGAGAATCTATTGCATCTTTTGTTGGTCTCCGGGCTATCCCAATCCTACATCAGATAGGCATGCTAAGAAATTCCAGCATATGATGCAAGGAGGCATCATCTTTAGTATCACCTTCGCATATGGTTAAAAAATTCAATTTCTTTATTATATCCAGATCAACTCATTGGAATATGGGCATTGACTACTATTCATTCTGTTTTGACTTTGAGATATTGTTGAACAAGAAGCAATGAACTTTAACAGATCATATTCCACCTAGTTACCGACCAATGCAAACAGAAGTGAGCTAAGGCAGGGGCATATTTCAAGAATGTTTAAGCCTGAGTTTCTTTCAGTGCATGAAGGAAAACTCTCTTCTAATCTAAGTTATGCAAAGCCTAAAATTCTTAAAATGTTCTGGTTACCAAAAGTCCAGAATCTAATAGACCACTCTATCAAAAGAAGAAAGAAAGAAAAGAATCTAATACACCAACCTCCTGATGTTATTCATTCCACAGTATAAAATTAACACAATACTTATAAGAACCCAATGCTAGACATAATTAACCCCAAAGCACAGTGAATGTAACGCATGTCTGCATTTTTAGGTCCATAGTTAATGATGCTTACCTGAACTTGGGTTTGATCCTGCATCTCAGAGAAAGGAGGGGGGTCAGTACTTAACTGCCCATCTATGTAGACAAAATCTCCTTTCTTCAAGTGTGAAGCAGCAATATGGGCCAGATCACCTTCAAATATTATTGGAATCCTAATATTGTAAGAGACAAACAAATCAACCAACCAAAAGTGAAACATAGATAGCATCAGTAACAGAACAAAGCAACTCAATCAGTGTGAAAGTAACAAACTTTACAGCAGCTTTTACTAAAAATGCTAATCCATCCAAAATCTTTTTTCTACATAAGCAACAGAGACAAAAATAACAGACAAACTCAGGAAGAGAAAAGAAGAATCAAGTGTACGAAAAAAAAGTAGTAGTAAAAGAGAGTACCGAAGAGCAGGAGAATGATAAGAAGGTTCCTGGGTAATAACAGTGGCAGCCCGAAACTTTTCATCAGGAGATGAAACTTGGGTTTGAATAGGCATATCGATATACCCAATTAAGTTAATAGAATTAGCAACCTTTGCTTGAAATGGGATTTCTTTGGGCCTTGGAAAATCTGTAGAGGAAGGTGATTTCTTGTATAAAGGTGGTGTTTTTTTTAGTGTAGTTGTTGGTGGCTTGTGCTCCTTTTCGTTGGTGGAGTAACAAGATGATTGTTGAAGCAGGAGAGTTAGTGGAGGAGAGATTCGCCTTGGAGTTGGTTGTGAGGTAGCGATTTTTGCAAGTACTCTGCATCTGCACAATGAATTCTTCATCGCCATGATAGTGGTCTGTGTTTTTTCAACAATAAACCCTCTTCTAAACCCTTTACAACACTTCAGCGAAATTGCTATTTCCACTCACCTGGTATGTTTCTGGAGAGAGAGTGCGGAGCCTCGTTGGGGATAGATTTTGGACTGCTAAAATCACTCACGATACTCTTTTACATTTGGTCAGATTGCCCTTTTACAAGTAATTGGTTTAGTAACACTGAGGTCCCTGTGGTGTCAATTTATGACACACAGAGCCTGGTGGTTCAAAAATAGGCTATTGGATATTTGAGGTTTAAATTTTGTTACAGTAAGTTAGATAATTCAACTGTGTTATGGGTTCAACTAAAAAATATTTAAACATGAAAAAAATTATAGAGGGAATGAATGGAATCATGTTAACAAATAGTGGGTTGAAGTTTAATTTAATTTTTTGTATAATATAAATTTTAAATTAAATTATTTAAAAATTATCTTGAGATAATCCAATCAATTTGATAATTTTAAAGATAATACAAAAAACTATTAAAAATATGTCTCGGTTCCAAATAAAAATTTCAAGATTTTATTATTTTTTTAGATATTAAAAAGATGATGTATTGGATTGACTTGGATTTTATGATCTAACTTGCCACACTAGCGACCTGCATCATGAACTCCAACAAGTTTAATAATTTTTATATAATTATATTTTAATAAAAATAGTTATTAATAAAATTGAATATCAACTCAATGCCGTAGCATTTATTTGGAACTGTGATAACGCTAAAGAATGTAAATTAAAACAAAATATGAATTTTAATTCTTAATTAAGCTAAGTTAACCTATCAAAACTACAAACTCAGTCATAGACTCTAATAGGTTTAATAACTTTTTTTAAAAACATAATTTTTTATTTTATTATATAATAATAAATATGAACACTCAAAAAAACCGAACACTTATCCAGTGTTGAGATATTTATTTGAGAACGTGATAACCTTATTGATTAGTACTTAAAAGTGCATTTTTATCATGATTTTATATCATCATTTTGCACTTGAAGTATCAATAACTCCTTAACCAAAGCATGTTTTATAATAATATATCAAATAATATAAGATACCTTTAATTT